GCGGATGCGGGGAGTCGAACCCCGACAGCTGCTTCAATTCTCTTTCACACAATATTATGAAATGCAGCGGTGCACCATCCACTACATCCGCTTCCTACCCTCATTGATTGAAGCTGCTAACTGGGATGATTTTATTGGGGCTGGGAGTTGTGTGCAAAAAACATAGCTAGGACCCGGGAATTCTGTTTTTGGGGGGCTTCCGACTGCGTAAATTGAGTCCCGGTTTGAAGCGGTTGTACAGCTGGCCTGTGCAAAAGAAAGGACGAAAAATTGCAGAGGGACCGGTAGTGCATGCGGACGGGGGGAGTCGAGCCTCGACAACTGCTTCAATTTTATTTCTGTATCCTATAATGAAATGCAGCGGTGCCCTGCGCACCACATCCGCTTTCTACCCTTGTTTCCTCAAGGTGCTAGGTAGGAGAATTTTATTGGTGCTGTGAGGTGAAACAGCTAACACCCCTGGCTGCCTTTTACGTCCTGTTATTGTCAAGAATTGTCAAGATAAATATTTGAATATAGTGTCTGTCATGTAGCACGTCTGTAAGTTCTGTTTGAAAGCAGTCGACCGTTGAGTTGCCAGACAAAAAGAAAGAAAGGAAAACAACAATAAAAAATCTGTCAGGCCGGCGGAATGCGGACGCGGGGAGTCGAACCCCAACAGCTGCTTCAGGCATGTGGAGTGCACTATCCAATGCAGCGGTGGACCGCGCACCACGTCCGCTTGCTTTTCTCATTTTGTCCTTATAATGAGAAAGAAATAAGGCATTTGACCGGCAAGAGAAAAACAGACCGAATTCTCAATGCGGACGCGGGGAGTCGAACCCCTAGTAGCTGCTTCAATTTTCGGTTTCCATTATGTACACGGCATGAAATGCATGCACCGTGCACCACGTCTGCTTCCCACCCTTGTTTCCTCAAGGTGCTAGGTAGGATGATTTTGGTGCTGTGTGAATTCCTGTGAAATAGCTGGAGGGGTAGACTCATAATCATCGGCTGCCTTTTTGTACTGGATGGAATTGTGGGTATAAATAATAATTGAGCCGCGGTTTGAACTGTTGAATGGCGAGACCAAAAAAAAACCTTTCGTGCTTCGAAAGCAGTTGAACTGTTGAATTGTGAGACAGAATAAAACTGGATTGTGCATGCGGACGCGGGGAGTCGAACCCCTGCAACTGCTTCAATTTGATCTTTAGATCTCCCAAATGAAATGCAGCGGTGCCCCACACACCACGTCCACTTGCTACCCTCGTTTCTGTCCTCTCAGAGGCGAGGCGAAAATGAGGTATTTGAACTGCGAGACAATAAAAGAATTCGGGAGGGGGGAAAATGCGGACATGAGGAGTCGAACCCCGATAGCTGCTTCAAGTTGATTCGGGACTAGGCTCTCCACACTCCGGAAATAGAGTTGTTTCGGGGCGTCCAAAAACGTTTCTGAAATTATTAGTATCAGTAAGGAATCAGTGCGCCTGAGACCATTAGTTTCAGGAGCAGTTTTGTCCGCCCAGAAACCACGAGTTTGTTTTTTCTTCACCCCCCATGAAATGCAGCGGTGCACCATGCACCACGTCGCTTCCTATCATCCTTTTCCTCAAGCTGCCAAGTACGATCGCTTTATACATATAAGCCAATTGGTGCCATGAGAACACAAGAGCCATGAGATGGATCAGAGTCAAGCTTTAAATTCTTGCGGGCTGCAATTGTATATATAATTGACTGCAATTGGCAGTGTTACCGCAAGTCATATTGGACCTTCAATTGCGAGACCCAAAAAAAAAAAAAAAGACAGGGGGCCCAGATGAATGCGGACGCGGGGAGTCGAACCCCGACAGCTGTGTGAAAGCTGCAATACAAAACACCATAAGATACAGCGGTGCACCGCGCACCACGTCCGCTTCATACACTGATTTACTCAAGCCGCTAGGTAGGATGATTTTATTGCCACGATTAGTTAAAAAAGGTGGTCAGATGTCTCGGAGTTGAATCTTGATTTCCTGGAGGTAGTTTTAATTGTCGGGATAACGGAGACGCCGCTTGAAAGTAACTGTGACCGTGGCAATAAAGAAAAACAGCTCTACCAGCTGCATGCGAACGCGGGGAGTCGAACCCCGACAGCTGCTTCAAATTTACGCTTTCCTAATGAAATACAGCAGTGCACCGTGCACCACGTCCATTTCCTGTGGTTGTTTCTTCGAGCTGTTAAGCAGGAGGATTTCATTGGCACGATTAGTTGAAAAAGGTGGTCAGATGTCTCGGAGTTGAATCTTGATTTCCTGGAGGTAGCTTTAATTGTCGGGATAACGGAGACGCCGCTTGAAAGCAGCTGTACTGTTGACCGTGGGGAAAAAAAACAGCTCTCCTGCTGCATGCGGACGCGGGGAGTCGAACCCCGACAGCTGCTTCAATTTTCAGGTTCAGTTCCATCGGATGAATTGCAGCGGTGCACCGCGCACCACGTCCACTTCTTAGCCTCATTCCTCAAGCTGGTAGGTAGGAGGGTTTTATTGGGGTCGTGAGATGAAAATGAGGTATAAGATGGATCGGAGCCAAACCCGAGGCAAACCTTAAATTCAACTGGATGGAATTGGGGGCTTGCCGTTGTCCTGTTGAACTGTTGGATTGCGAGACAAGAAGCAAAAGGGGGGGAAAAGCCCTTTAACGGTGCATGCGGACGCGGGGAGTCTGTAACCCCTCATATGAAATGCAGCGGCGCACCGTGCACCACGTCTGCTTCCACCCTCATTTCCTTAAGCTGCTATCTGGGATAATTTTATTGGTGCTGTGAGCCATCCCGCACTAGTTGCTTTTTTCATCCTGGAATTGTCGGGATCCCGGATAATTGGCTACTGCGATCTGGTATGTACGGCCTCTGCATAACGTTTCGTGCCAGTGGATCGGGGAAAATTTAACGAAATGAAAAGAAAAGAAAAGGAAGTGGAACCAGATAAATGCGGACGTGGGGAGTCGAACCCCAGCAACTGCCTCGAATTTTCGCACTGAGAACCACATGAAATGCAGCGGTGCGCCGTGCACTACATCTGCTTTCTACTCTTGTTTACTCAAGCCGCTAACTAGGATGGCTTTATAATTTTATTGGGGCCATGAAAACTTGAGAAGGAAAAGCTATGAATGGATGGATCAGAGCCAATTTTTACGGGATGGAACTACAAGGGTAAGTAATTGAGTCGTTCTTTGAAAACAGCTACTACTGTGGACCAGAGCAAAAACATAGAACAAAAAAATACACTTCAAACTAGAGATATGCGGACGCAGGGAGTCGAACCCTGGCAGCTGCTTCACTCGACATTTCAGATGCAGCGGTGCACAATGCACTAATCTGCTTCCTTTACTCATTTATTCCCTCTCGCAAACGAGCAAAAATAACATATTTGACCGGCCAGACAGCAAAAAGAATTCTGGAGAGCAAATGCGGCTGCTTCGACAGTTTTTCAAACAAGTCGCAAATAGAGTGCAGCGGTGCGCCGTGCACCACGTTCGCTTGCTACTCTGGTTTACTTGGACCTCCAAGTATTGAGGCTGCGAGCCACCGCCCAATGGCTACCTGTGTTTCACGGAATGGAATTGTCCAGAATTGTCGGGATAATTGAGGGCAGCGTCTGTCATGTAGCACGTCTTCAACTCATGATTTATGTAAAATGGGTTGAATTGTTGAATTGCAAGACCAAACAAAAAACCAACTGTGGAAGTTGCATGCGGCCACGCGGAGTCGAACCCCAGCAGCTGCTTCAATTTTCGGTTTCCCATACACCACATGAAATGCAGCGGTGCACCATGCACCACGTCCGCTTCCTGTACTTATTTCTTTCTTTGGGTAAGTGAGACTAAAAATAAGCTGCAAAAGAAAAACAGGTTGAATTCTCAATGCGGACGCGGGGAGTCGAACCCCTGGTAGCTGCTTCAATTTCTTTCCACTCTGTACACGGCATGAAATGCAGTGGTGCACCGTGCACCACGCCTGCTTCCTACCCTTGTTTGCTACATAGGTAGGAGAATTTTATTGGTGCTGTGTGAATTTTTGTGAAATAGCTAGATGGGTAGACTCATCGGCTGCCTTTTTGTACTGGATGGAATTGTGGGTATAATTGAGCCGCGGTTTGAAAGCAGTTCAACTGTTGAATTGCGAGACCAAAAAAACCACAACATTTACCACGTCCATTTCTCTTCAAGCTGCAAGTTAGAGAATTTTATTGGTGCTGTGACGTGAAAAGCTATCATAGACAGACAGATGGCCAAAATTCGTGTTACATTTAACCAAGGAATGGGATGGAACTGCAAGGATGATAGAGTCATGGTTCGAAAGCTTGAAGAGTTGAAAGAAAGAACAAAACAAAATCTATCTGAGTGTGAATGCGGACACGGGGAGTTGAACCCCAGCAGCTGCTTCAATTTTCTTCTCGGTTCTGCCAAATGAAATACAGCAGGGCGCCGTGCACTAGGTCTGCTTCCAACCAATCCAACCTTTGTTTCCTTAAGCTGCCAAGTACGATGGCTTTATAATATAATCTTATTGGTGTCATGAGAACAAAAGAGCCATAAGAAGGATCAGAGTGAAACCTCGAATTCTTGCGGGCTGCGATTGTGAGAATGCTTGACTGCAATTGGCAGTGGTGCCGCAGGCCATGTTGGACCTTGAATTGCGAGACCCAAAAAAAAAAAAAAAGACAGGTCTGACAATGGCATGCGGACGCGGGGAGTCAAACCCCAGCAGCTGCTTCAACTGGCTCCTAATTTCGCAAATGAAAGCAGTGGTGCATCGTGCACCACGTCCACTTCCCACTCTAGTTTACTTGAGCCTCCAAGCTGGATGATTTATTGCTGTGAGGGGAAAAAGCTAGCTGGTGAGATGGATCTGAGTCAGATCCCGCGTGGCTCCCTTTATTCTTGCTGGATGGAATTGGGATGATTGAGTCGCGGTTTGAAAACGGTTTAACTGTTGGATTGCGAGACCCCCCCCAAAAAAAAAATCGCAGCTCCAATGTGTATGCGGACGCGGGGAGTCGAACCCCAGCAGCTGCTTCAACTGACTCCGACTTCCCAAATGAAATGTAGCGGTGCGCCGCGCACCACGTCCGCTTTTCCTCCTGCTCTCGTTATGTCTTTGCATGGGTGCGACTAAAATCAGCGCTGCCAGGGAGCGGCCAACAGTGGGTTATGTTTGCGGGGATCTGAGTCTGGTATGACACTCGTTGGGTGATTTTGATTGGATTTTGACTCTTGAGGTGAGTACTGCAGGGATGATTTCTGCACCAACCAATTCAATTTTTCCCACCAACTGTAAGGTTCGAGCACTCGTCGAGTCGTTCCAGTTGAACGTTGAACAACACCCCATCGCAAGTCAGCGCTGTCGTGACATCATAAGGCTGAATTGCAATGTGCAGACGTTACACGTCAAGCCCGCACGCTGTCTAGTTATTTATAGGCGTCGGCACCAATTCGGCAACATCGCAGCGAGCGACACCGTCACCACGCCAATTCGGTACTCTGGTTCCTTTTCTCATCTGTACTCCACCTTTCTCTTCCACACACCTTCAGAGCCCTCCATGGCCCGCCTCTGCCCACTGCTTCCACTCCTTGCCCTCCCGCTCACCCGGGCCGCCACAACCATCTACCAAGTCCCTGGCCGAGCAGCCTTCGCCACCGGCTCCGCTGCAGCCGCAGCCAGCGCGTACACGGGTGCGGCGGCGTACAACCCCACCACGCTCGTCGCGCCGCCCGTCCCCACTCCCGCTGTCCCCAGTAGCTTGTGCTCTCGACTCCCTCGACTCCCTACTTTGGGCGAGAAGGGAGGGTCTAGGGATGGTAAATTGACGAAGGCGGCAGTGGGCAAGAACGCGACGCACATCCAGGTGCCGTTCCTCAACCTCATGGCGAATATCCAGCAGCGCGCGGGGTCGGTGCGCGTACGCGTTGGTGGGAACTCGCAGGTGCGTTCCCTTGTCCTTCTCCCATCCCCGCTCTGTCATTCCTCGAATAAAAGAGCTCGCTAACCCCCACCCTCCCAGGAATCAGCCACCCTCGTCCCCGCCTCGTCCATCCCCGACGGCAAGATCCTCCAAAAGCACCTCACCGGCGTCAGAGGCACGACGCAGCCCCGCCGTTGGAGTATGGCGATGAGTTGTTTTATATGGTGCGTTTTTTTTCTTTTCCGTTTCATTTGTGAGGGACGATGGCGAGGAGCGCGTGCGGGGACGACGAGATGTCGAGTCTGCTCTTTGGCGTCGTTCACAAAGCGCCTGTCATCGACGCCTCGACCCCGATACCCTGCTGGGGCTGGGGCGGGAGTTAGCGTAGCGCACGTCTACGAGACGTTGAGGCGAAACGTGACGTTGTGCAAGTCGAGTCGAGTCCGTTCTTTGTCTACGCCGTGTGCCTGGACCCCTCGACGTCTCGACGGCTTGACGCCGCTGAGCGCGCGCCTATGAGGAGGCGAGTCGCATAGCGCGCGTCTTGCCTTTCGATGAGAGCATCCAGTCGAGGATGGGGTGTAGAGACGAGCTCGACGAGCCTCGAGCAACGACCCTGAGCCTTGATTCACGAGCGTAGTCGACCCTCGTTTCTCGTTTCTCGAACGCGCCTGTATTTGTGGGCGAGCCGGGTGGGGGCATGTGCGTGTGCGAGGCGGTGTGCATCGGCGTCGATGGCGCGATGGTGACGAGTACGCGTCGGTGGCGAAGATGTGCGCGACGGAGTGGGCGGCGCGCGGGGTGGGCTCGTGCTCGGGCTTAGTTTGCACGTCGACAGATGCGCCTCGACGCCAGACACGGCTCTGCTGCGGCGAGAGTTAGCATGCGTCTACGAGACGAGACGGTGACGAGCGCTCAAGCCCAAGGCGTACCTTGCAATATGACCATCCGATGCCGATGCGTGGTGGAGGCGCTGGTGCGGATGCCCTCGGCGTCGAATACTGCCCTGGGCTGGAGTGTTGGCGCACTCCTATGCACGGGACGAGACGTCGACGGGTGTCGAGACGCTTACTTCTGGTGAAGCTGTCACAGGGGGCATGCCCCACCGCTTATCAGCTCATAAGCCGCAGACGCTTATGAGCGGCGGGTAGCTCGCTTATTGATGGCTCGGAGAAATTGCCTCGTGTTTCCCTCGTGTGTATGTGTAATGCATATTGATGTGGATTGGGTTCAAACCTGGGTAGTGGCATTCCTTTTTGAAACATCAGATTTTATTTAATGCAGACTCAGAGATACATAATGAATGTTGGCTACACATGTAACAGATTACTGAGCTCTCTCAGCCTCTCTGTAGACATTGTTGTAGTGCTGTTAGGCAAGCACCCACTCCCTGTGGACCACATATACCATTAGTGTTGGTCACACTTGTGCTATTTGATGAGTGTTGTTTGGTACAAAATTCAGAATAATATATTATTTTGACCTGGTCCCACTTTCTGGAACATGCCGTTGAAATATACTATGCTACATCACTGTCTCAGCATTTTCAACAAGCTCACCCATTTCAAGCCTGTATATCTCAGGCACCCAAATGGCAACCAACCAAGATAGGGTTATCTATGTTCCATCTGGCTGCCCGGCACCAGTGGCAAGTTGCACCTTTGATATTCAGTCAGATCATTTGTTCCTCCTCAAACACTGCAAACAGTTGATGATGAATTTTTCTGCTTAACAAATAGTATCCTTCGGAAATACCATAACTTTCAGGACAAATTCTGAGGAGCCACAGAAGATTCTAGGCTCTATCAATTGCATTGACTGAGTGAATATTTGCCATGCACCTGATAACACACCCGAAAGAAACTCAACAATGCAGACTGAAATAGGTCTATAGAGTCCGGTAATTTTGGAGGTACAGATTACATTTCTCTTGTATATTTGAGCCTGCACTAAATGTAATGTGATGTTTTTAAAAGGAATGCTACTACCCAGGTTCGAACCCAACACACATCAATATACATTACACATACACACGAGGCACACACGAGGCAATTTCTCCGAGCCATCAATAAGCGAGTAAACCGCCGTTCATGAGCGCCTGCGGCTTATAGATTTTAAGCGGTGGGGCATGCCCCCTGTGTGTACTTGATCCAAATCAAATCAACTCTTTTTGCCGCTCGATGTTGTGTGCTTTTAAGTTTGCCTTGTGATCATATTACATTTCCAGACTTACGACGATATTGTTCTTTATGTTGTGCCCTGTATAACACTTCCATGCTTTAAATTGTTGGCCCAAAGAGCTCATACGGCGACATACTCGCGGGCTATCTCCTCATTCTCATTGTTCCTTCTCTCCATAGTTTCAATATTCCGGAACTATTCCTGGGGCCTAACTCTGTCGCCTCTCTAATATCTCGAAATCCGACTAAGAAATACATATCACGCATCGAATATCAATACCCGAGCTTTCCAACCACAATGCATTTCCTTCGACCCCGAAGGTCTCCGTCACCCCTCAGTAATAACACCTCAGAAAATCGATAGTCTCCACGATTTTTACCTGCGTTTCAAGTTTATTTCTCGTGCCAAAACAGCAAAAGGCTCCTGGTCCCTTGGGTTAAACGACAGAAGCATCCAATCGAGCAGAAATGTGGTTGGAACACTATCCAGTTGATAACGCTTAGGCGATTCAGGTTGTGGTTTTGAAATTGTAATTTTTTTTCCATCTTGCACGACGCTATGAAACCGATGTTTAGGGGAATTTTCACCAGTGCGTCGCCAACGAAGGCTGTGCTCCGCTCTGTCTTACATCCACTGCTCAAGGTCAAGCCTCGGACCTCATCATCCCTGCTTCTTCCTCGTACCTCCACCAGCTCAATGCCTTCACTCCCCGATCTCCCGACCGAACTTCTGATGGAGATAGTTAAATACTACCCCGAATTGTATCTAGACATCGACGCGGCCATACGTGGAGTGCCTAGCGAGCAGTTCGACGGAAATGATGTGCTGCGTGCGCTATCCCAGACCTCTCATGTACTACGAGGCATATTCCTTCCTCTGCTATGGGCGCGCGTGCATGCATGCTTCACTGCACGGAACCGGCCTAAACGGAGGATCAGAACTCGAGCGAAGATGCTCGGACGCCGCATGATAGGCATCCGCAAAACAGCGTACATAGTACCGCATAAACGGTATGCCTGATCCGCCCTTGTATTTTTATCCCAGCAGATTTAATATCCGTGCAGCTCCTTGTCTGTTACGCTGTCGGAATGCAACATGGGCAATTGGCAGCCGCCGGCAGAATTTATCCAGGTTCTAGACCTGCTACCGAACTTGCAGGATCTTACTCTCATCCACCTATCATCAGAAATGGTCCCTGTGCTTGAAGTTTTGTGCCGCGGGAAAGTCTTTCCCTCAGTCTTGAGGCTGGCGCTCAACGACCAATTGGCGCCAATCATACCCTGTTTCCCCAATGTCCAAGCTTTGACATACCGGTGGTCCGCTGGCATAGGCATTCTCCTGGCGATAAGGGGTTATTGCCACCAAATTCATACCATCAACAACATTCTGTTGTCGACAGACGTCGTTGAATGTAGGTTCTAATGGCGGCGTTTACCAGAACCAATCTCATCTGCGCATTCAGGTCTTCGCATCAGCATCCCAAACGTGAAACGAATTTCACTCTGGGAAAATATTACCCTGGTTAGTGGGGATACCTATTAACATAGCACGAATTGATTGCACAATCCGTGAGGACACCCTGCGCCTATTGGAAGGCATGGAGAACCTATCGGAATTGCAAATCCGCCATCATACACAGGCGCGCTGGCCGCGCCAACCTCCGTTGGATGACTTAGTAGCACCCGCTCGACGGGTTCTAGCAACATCCAAAGCCGCCGGATGAAAGGAGCTCCGGATTATGGAATTTGAGGGGACCTATATGCACGATGTATTTTGCAAGGAGCGAGTCATAGTTGTCGGCGGAGGCATCTGAACATCAATCCCCACTATATTACTTGGTGCTCCTTTTTGTGAGGATCATTTGTTCCTTTGGTATGTATGCTTAGACTTCGAGACTCCACTTTGTCTTTCTGGATTATAGTTGGGTCTAGAGGGTCTGGAAGTGAGATCACAAAATTGGACTCCCAGAACGAAAGAAAAAAATATTGG